GAGCGATGGACCGAGAGGACTCTCGGCTGAGCGAGCGAGCCAGTGGATGGAGTTGGGCGAATTAATTGAGCGGGTGAGCGATCGAATGGGCGAGAGAATTGGTGGTGGGGTTGGTGGGGGGGTTGGTGGTGGTGGGGGGCATGACGGATCGATTTCGTGAATAAATGAGAGGGCGAGCAAGCGATCGAGCGAATTGAGTGCGTGAGCGAATGAATTGATGAGTGGGCGAAGAACAGAAAGACCGGGGACGTGCAGGGGTGAATTTGGGAGTGAGTGAGTGAATTAATGAGTGGGCGAGTAATTGAATTAATGTGGGAGTGAGCGAGTGAGTGAGTGAGTGAATGAGTGAGCGAGTGAGTGAGTGAATGAATGGGCGAGTAATTGAATTAATGGGAACCTGTGGGGTGAATGGGGGGGGCGAGCGAGTAAGTGAATGGGGGGGGGTGACAGAGTGACTGAAGCACATCATTTGGTGATGTGTCCGCGTTGGGACTTGGGTCTAAGCACCGTTCACAGACGATAACGCGGTGGGGTTGATGTTGGGGTGCGTCCGTGGGGCAGCGTGGAAGTAGTGAGTGGGTGAGTGACTGAGAGGGTGAGTGAGTGAGAGGGTGAGTGACTGAGTGGGTGAGTGAGTGAGAGGGTGAGTGACTGAGTGGGTGAGTGAGTGAGTGGGTGAGTGACTGAGAGGGTGAGTATCTAAGTGGGTGAGTGAGTGAGAGGGTGAGTATCTGAGTATCTGAGTGGGTGAGTGAGATGGTGAGTATCTGAGTGGGTGAGTGACTGAGAGGGTGAGTATCTGAGTGGGTGAGTGAGAGGGTGAGTATCTGAGTGGGTGAGTGACTGAGTGGGTGAGTGACTGAGTGGGTGAGTGACTGAGAGGGTGAGTGACTGAGAGGGTGAGTGACTGAGAGGGTGAGTGACTGAGAGGGTGAGTGACTGAGACGGTGAGTGACTGAGTGGGTGAGTATCTAAGTGGGTGAGTGACTGAGAGGGTGAGTGACTGAGAGGGTGAGTGACTGAGTGGGTGAGTGAGTGAGTGGGTGAGTGACTGAGAGGGTGAGTATCTGAGTGGGTGAGTGAGTGAGAGGGTGAGTATCTAAGTGGGTGAGTTAGATGGTGAGTATCTGAGTCGGTGAGTGAGACGGTGAGTATCTGAGTGGGTGAGTGAGAGGGTGAGTATCTGAGTGGGTGAGTGACTGAGTGGGTGAGTGAGTGGGTGAGTATCTGAGTGGGTGAGTGAGAGGGTGAGTATCTGAGTGGGTGAGTGAGTGAGAGGGTGAGTATCGGAGTGGGTGAGTGAGTGAGAGGGTGAGTATCTGAGTGGGTGAGTGAGTGAGATGGTGAGTATCTGAGTGGGTGAGTGAGTGAGAGGGTGAGTATCTGAGTGGGTGAGTGAGTGAGAGGGTGAGTATCTGAGTGGGTAAGTGAGTGAGAGGGTGAGTATCTGAGTGGGTGAGTGACTGAGAAGGTGAGTATCTGAGTGGGTGAGTGACTGAGAAGGTGAGTATCTGAGTGGGTGAGTGACTGAGTGGGTGAGTATCTGAGGAGGTGAGTGACTGAGAGGGTGAGTGACTGAGTGGGTGAGTGACTGAGTGGGTAAGTATCTGAGTGGGTGAGTGACTGAGTGGGTGAGTATCTAAGTGGGTGAGTGAGTGAGAGGGTGAGTATCTGAGTGGGTGAGTGACTGAGAGGGTGAGTATCTGAGTGGGTGAGTGACTGAGAGTGTGAGTATCTGAGTGGGTGAGTGACTGAGTGGGTGAGTATCTGAGGAGGTGAGTGACTGAGTGGATGAGTATCTGAGGAGGTGAGTGACTGAGTGGGTGAGTGAGTGAGAGGGTGAGTATCTGAGTGGGTGAGTGACTGAGTGGGTGAGTATCTGAGGAGGTGAGTGACTGAGTGGGTGAGTGAGTGAGAGGGTGAGTATCTGAGTGGGTGAGTGAGTGAGATGGTGAGTATCTGAGTGGGTGAGTGAGTGAGAGGGTGAGTATCTGAGTGGGTGAGTGAGTGAGAGGGTGAGTATCTGAGTGGGTGAGTGACTGAGAGGGTGAGTGACTGAGTGGGTGAGTGAGTGAGTGAGTGGGTGAGTATCTGAGTGGGTGAGTGACTGAGTGGGTGAGTATCTGAGTTGGTTGAGTATCTGAGTGGGTGAGTGACTGAGTGGGTGAGTGACTGAGTGGGTGAGTGACTGAGTGGGTGAGTATCTGAGTGGGTGAGTGACCGGGTGAGTGACTGAGAGGGTGAGTGACTGATTGGGTGAGTGAGTGGGTGAGTATCTGAGTGGGTGAGTTACTGAGAGGGTGAGTATCTGAGTGGGTGAGTGACTGAGTGGGTGAGTATCTGAGGAGGTGAGTGACTGAGTGGATGAGTATCTGAGGAGGTGAGTGACTGAGTGGGTGAGTGAGTGAGAGGGTGAGTATCTGAGTGGGTGAGTGACTGAGAAGGTGAGTATCTGAGTGGGTGAGTGACTGAGAAGGTGAGTATCTGAGTGGGTGAGTGACTGAGTGGGTGAGTATCTGAGGAGGTGAGTGACTGAGAGGGTGAGTGACTGAGTGGGTGAGTGACTGAGTGGGTAAGTATCTGAGTGGGTGAGTGACTGAGTGGGTGAGTATCTAAGTGGGTGAGTGAGTGAGAGGGTGAGTATCTGAGTGGGTGAGTGACTGAGAGGGTGAGTATCTGAGTGGGTGAGTGACTGAGAGGGTGAGTATCTGAGTGGGTGAGTGACTGAGTGGGTGAGTATCTGAGGAGGTGAGTGACTGAGTGGATGAGTATCTGAGGAGGTGAGTGACTGAGTGGGTGAGTGAGTGAGAGGGTGAGTATCTGAGTGGGTGAGTGACTGAGTGGGTGAGTATCTGAGGAGGTGAGTGACTGAGTGGGTGAGTGAGTGAGAGGGTGAGTATCTGAGTGGGTGAGTGAGTGAGATGGTGAGTATCTGAGTGGGTGAGTGAGTGAGAGGGTGAGTATCTGAGTGGGTGAGTGAGTGAGAGGGTGAGTATCTGAGTGGGTGAGTGACTGAGAGGGTGAGTGACTGAGTGGGTGAGTGAGTGAGTGAGTGGGTGAGTATCTGAGTGGGTGAGTGACTGAGTGGGTGAGTATCTGAGTTGGTTGAGTATCTGAGTGGGTGAGTGACTGAGTGGGTGAGTGACTGAGTGGGTGAGTGACTGAGTGGGTGAGTATCTGAGTGGGTGAGTGACCGGGTGAGTGACTGAGAGGGTGAGTGACTGATTGGGTGAGTGAGTGGGTGAGTATCTGAGTGGGTGAGTTACTGAGAGGGTGAGTATCTGAGTGGGTGAGTGACTGAGTGGGTGAGTATCTGAGGAGGTGAGTGACTGAGTGGATGAGTATCTGAGGAGGTGAGTGACTGAGTGGGTGAGTGAGTGAGAGGGTGAGTATCTGAGTGGGTGAGTGAGTGAGATGGTGAGTATCTGAGTGGGTGAGTGAGTGAGAGGGTGAGTATCTGAGTGGGTAAGTGAGTGAGAGGGTGAGTATCTGAGTGGGTGAGTGACTGAGAAGGTGAGTATCTGAGTGGGTGAGTGACTGAGAAGGTGAGTATCTGAGTGGGTGAGTGACTGAGTGGGTGAGTATCTGAGGAGGTGAGTGACTGAGAGGGTGAGTGACTGAGTGGGTGAGTGACTGAGTGGGTGAGTATCTGAGTGGGTGAGTGACTGAGTGGGTGAGTATCTAAGTGGGTGAGTGAGTGAGAGGGTGAGTATCTGAGTGGGTGAGTGACTGAGAGGGTGAGTATCTGAGTGGGTGAGTGACTGAGAGGGTGAGTATCTGAGTGGGTGAGTGACTGAGTGGGTGAGTATCTGAGGAGGTGAGTGACTGAGTGGATGAGTATCTGAGGAGGTGAGTGACTGAGTGGGTGAGTGAGTGAGAGAGTGAGTATCTGAGTGGGTGAGTGACTGAGTGGGTGAGTTCTCTGAGGAGGTGAGTGACTGAGTGGGTGAGTGAGTGAGAGGGTGAGTATCTAAGTGGGTGAGTGAGTGCGATGGTGAGTATCTGAGTGGGTGAGTGAGTGAGAGGGTGAGTATCTGAGTGGATGAGTGAGTGAGAAGGTGAGTATCTGAGTGGGTGAGTGACTGAGAGGGTGAGTGACTGAGTGGGTGAGTGAGTGAGTGAGTGGGTGAGTATCTGAGTGGGTGAGTGACTGAGTGGGTGAGTATCTGAGTTGGTTGAGTATCTGAGTGGGTGAGTGACTGAGTGGGTGAGTGACTGAGTGGGTGAGTGACTGAGTGGGTGATTATCTGAGTGGGTCAGTGACCAGGTGAGTGACTGATTGGGTGAGTGAGTGGGTGAGTATCTGAGTGGGTGAGTGACTGAGAGGGTGAGTATCTGAGTGGGTGAGTGACTGAGTGGGTGAGTATCTGAGGAGGTGAGTGACTGAGTGGATGAGTATCTGAGGAGGTGAGTGACTGAGTGGGTGAGTGAGTGAGAGGGTGAGTATCTGAGTGGGTGAGTGAGTGAGAGGGTGAGTATCTGAGTGGGTGAGTGAGTGAGAGGGTGAGTATCTGAGTGGGTGAGTGACTGAGAGGGTGAGTATCTGAGTGGGTGAGTGACTGAGTGGGTGAGTATCTGAGGAGGTGAGTGACTGAGTGGATGAGTATGTGAGGAGGTGAGTGACTGAGTGGGTGAGTGAGTGAGAGGGTGAGTATCTGAGTGGGTGAGTGAGTGAGATGGTGAGTATCTGAGTGGGTGAGTGAGTGAGAGGGTGAGTATCTGAGTGGGTGAGTGAGTGAGAGGGTGAGTATCTGAGTGGGTGAGTGACTGAGTGGGTGAGTGACTGAGTGGGTGAGTGACTGAGTGGGTGAGTATCTGAGTGGGTGAGTGACCGGGTGAGTGACTGAGAGGGTGAGTGACTGAGTGGGTGAGTGAGTGGGTGAGTATCTGAGTGGGTGAGTGACTGAGAGGGTGACTATCTAAGTGGGTGAGTGACTGAGTGGGTTAGTGACTGAGTGGGTTGAGTGGCCGGGTGAGTGGCCGGGTGAGTGTGCGGTTACCTCCGGCGTGTGGAGGAGGAGCGCAGATCATCACCACCCCCTGGCCGCCTCGCACCGCCACGGCTCCCCGTGCTTGCCGGCTGAAGGCGTGCAAGTCTGTGGGCGAAGGCGAAAGGGGGCCCCCACGCCCCCCACACCCCCCACGTATAAGCCAGCAAAACAGATGTGCATTTGAGGCTGAGTCGACCTAGAGGAGGCCCACGGTGAATCGACACCGGCGTGGTCCGTGAGCGGGAATCGAACTTGGGTCGCCGGGTTCGTAGCGCAGCGCGCAGACCGCTGCACCACCGCTCCCCACAGACACACACACAGACTCGGACACACACACTCGGACACACACACAGACTCCGACACACACACACAGACTCCGACACACACACACAGACTCCGACACACACACAGACTCGGACACACACACAGACTCGGACACACAGACACACTCGGATACACACACACACACACACAGACTCGGACACACACACACACACACTCGGACACACAAACATTCGGACACACACACAGACTCCGACACACACACACAGACTCCGACACACACACACACACACTCGGACACACTCACACTCGGACACACACACAGACTCCGACACACACACACAGACTCCGACACACACACAGACTCGGACACACACACAGACTCGGACACACAGACACACTCGGATACACACACACACACAGACTCGGACACACACACACAGACTCCGACACACACACAGACTCGGACACACACACAGACTCACACACACACACACAGACTCGGACACACACACACTCGGACACACACAGACTCGGACACAGACTCCGACACACACACACAGACTCGGACACACACACGGACTCCGACACACACACACACTCGGACACACACACACTCGGACATATACACACAGACTCGGACACACATACACACTCGGACATATACACACACACAGGGGCACACACACACAAGGACACACACAACAACAACAACAACCGCCATTCACCACTAAGTGGCGGTGACGTCACCACGACGCTTGTGCCAGGCCATGTGCACCTTGAGGCCACGTGAAGTGTCGAACGCCCGCGGGCAGGAGGTCACGGGGCAGACCCAGGTGCCACGGGTCGACTGACTGAGATGACTGGCTGGTGCACCACCTGTGCCCCCTACTGTGCCAACCTGCTGTGCTTTAGCCACCCCGCGCTCCGCTCATTGTTGTGAGCGTCGCTCCTCCGCCCTCCGTTGTTGTTGGAGGGCGACTGCCTCCAACTGCCCAATAGCGTCCTTCATGAGCCTCCTCCACAGAGGCCGATCTTGACACCGCTGGTACCAGTCATCGGCAAGTCCACTCAGCTCCACGTCCTCCTGTACCACATCACTCCATCTCTTCTATAACCCGTGCCGCGCCCGTTTAGCCCCCTCGATCCGGCCGAACAAAAGCTGTTTCAGCATGCGATGGCTGGGCATGCGGGCTACATGACCAAGCCAACGCAGCCTTGCCTGCCGGAGGAGCTCACCGATGGGACCTTGCCCAGATCTTTCAAAGATTTGTGAGCTCCTCACACAATCCAGCCTGGTTAAACCCAGAATGGATCGTAGGCAGGCTAGCCTAAACGTTTCTAACCGGCGAAGATGTTCCATTAGTGGGGTCCACGTTTTCAAGCGTAGAGAAGGGAGGGAATGACCGTGGCCGAGAAGACCTGAAGCTTATTGCGGAGCGACAGACCAGGTAGCTTCCACACAGCGTTACGCAACCGATGAAACGATATTGCCGCTCGACTGATTCGGAGTGAGACCTCTGCTGTTAAACTGGAGCCGCTCATGAGCACACTGCCCAGGTATGGGAAACTCTCCACCCTCTCCAGAACTGCCCCATTGCCGATTGGGAGTTGTGGGGGTGGAGTGTCCGATGATACAAAATACCCAGGCAGGTGCTTAGTTTTGGTGGGGCTGATGGTAAGGCCCCATCTCTTAGTGGCACGCTCCAGTCCCAGCAGCAGCGTCTCCAACTCCTCCTCTGAATGAGCAGCTATTACCAAATCATCGGCATACATAACGTGGTTGAGCAATAGGGAGCCATCCCTTGACCGCACCCGGGCATCGATCAGTCTCCCATTATATCTGTACCATATGGAGATTCCCCCGGTACAGCTATTGAAGGCTTCACGAACTACGTGGTCAAAATAGATGTTAAATAATGTGGGAGCCAGAGGACATCCCTGTCGCACCCCAAGGTGTACAGGGAATGGCTCTGACTCCCGGTCACGTAGTTTTACCCGGGCCCGCTCACCATCATGAAGGTCCTTAATGATCGTGAGCAGATGGTCAGGGACTCCAAAAGCACGAAGAACAAGCCAGAGCCCAGGCCTACTGATGGTATCATAGGCCTTGACCAGGTCAATAAAGCAGGGATGTAGGTCTTGTTGGAATTCCATACACCTCTGCTGTAGCATACGGACAGAAAATATGGCATCTGTGCAGGACCGCCCTTTCCTGAAACCGCATTGGGGCTCCGCAAGCCTCTCCTCAGCGTGCCTGGCAAGGCGATGTTGAATAATTCTTGCCAGGACCTTTCCCGGCACACTGAGGAGTGAGATGCCCCTGTAGTTGTTACAGTCTGTGCGGTCCCCCTTCTTAAAGAGGGGGACCACCAAGGCATCCTTCCAATCCTGTGGAATCCGTCCAGTGGTCCAGATTGTTGTTATGATGTCATATAGGGCAGTCTGTGCACAAACGCCACGCTCCCTCAGCATTTTGCTTGGCAGATCATCTCTGCCCGGTGCCTTTCCTGGTCTCAGACTCCGGATCGCCTTCAATACTTCCTCAACAGATGGCACCTCAGCCAGCCACTCACAGGGGGTGACTTCTTCCAATATTTGAGGCACCGCAGCCTCAGCAGGGTCATCCCCACTTTGTGCCACGATGTTTTCCTGGCTGAGGGATTTCCCCTCCCCCAGGACCTCACAGAAATGCTCAGCAAATCTGCAAACCTGTTCCTGGGGGTCGGAGATTGGATCACCGTTTTTTTCCCCTAATGATGGTAATCGGTGTGGCGCTGCAGGTTACTTTTCTGATGGTGTTAAATAGAGATTTGTGATCACGGGCCACTGAGGCAGACTCCATCTCCTCAGCAACCCGCGACCACCACCCATCCTTGCAGCGCCTCACGGCTCTCCGAACCTCCGAGCGAAGGCTGCGGTAAGCCTCTTCATTCTCTGACGTGGGATTCTGTAGCCGATGACAGTGGGCCTGTCGCTTTTTCTCAACCATCCTGAATACCTCCTCTGTCAGCCAGGGTCTCTGGGGAGGTCTGGACCGCGTACCCAAAGCAGCCATTGCAGCTGCATGAGTCACAGTCCTAAACCTCGCCCATTGACCCTCGACATCAGGAGGAGTGGGGGACGATGGCAACCCCAGCCGCAAGCGATGATGAAATTCTCGCTTGCAACTTTCATCAGATAACTGAGACACACACACACTCACACACTCACAGACATACACACACAGACACACACACTCACAGACACACACAGACACACACACACACAGGCACACACACAGACACACTCACACAGACACACACAGACACACAGACACACACACTCACACACACACAGGCACACACACACAGACACACACACTCACAGACACACACAGACACACAGACACACACAGACACACACTCACACACACACAGGCACACACACAGACACACACACACACAGTCACACACAGACACACACACACACAGACACACACACTCACAGACACACACAGACACACACACACAGACACACACTCACACACACAGACACACACACACAGACACACACACTCACACAGGCACACACACACAGACACACAGACACACACTCACATAGGGCTACGTCAGACATTCATCTTTGTTCCTCCCCAATTACGGGGCTGCTGCTGTTTCCTGCCGACGGAAACTGGCGTAGCTCAGCAGAGTATCTCATATTTATACAACTGTGGAATATACAGGATAACGTAATGTAAATAGATGCTCTGTCTTTTAACAACAACAACAACAACACACGAGACAATGACAAAGAGTCCCCGTATAGCCTGTAACAGACTGTTGGGGCAAGTGCTGTTAGCGGGTGACACCTATGAAGGCCGGCACGGCACACGAGGGGGTGGGTGGCCAGCACCACGCCCGGCCGCCTTTGTCTCCTCAGTGGCGATGTTTACTACACATCGCACCGGGTACTCATTTGAGGATGTCATGGGGAGGTCTTCATCCAGCGGTGGATTGACCAGACAGATTACGTCATGCCAATCGTATGCAAAACAAGACACGCAGCTCCACTATTACCCCCCACCGCCACCCACCACCACGGAGCGTTTAAATCTCTCGTTGCAAATAAAAAAAAATATAGAAATGAAAAAATAAATACGTGAATAAAATATGTAAAACAAAAAAATACATATATATTTAAAAAAACACACACAAAAAACCATATTTTCCCACCGCTTTACGTAAGGGGAGTTGAGATTCATAATTGCCGATCCACATTTATTTTTTCGGCTACGTCGGGGATGGCCGATACGCGGGAAGGGAATGATGCCGATTACGTCTAATTACACGGACAATTTCATCCCGCCTGCAAGACCGCGGGCGCTCTCGGCGAGCAACGAAGCAAATGAAATATTCCTGGCAAGACGCGCGTGAGGACGCGCCGGCCATCGTGAGAGCCTCCCATTAGGCGCTCCCTTACACTGAAAGACTCGGCTCGTGTGCGCGATTTCCCCGGTTTAATCGTCTCCTGCGGGTGTTGCCGTGGCGTTGCGCGCGGGACACGCAGAGGCAATGCGTTAACCCCCTTGGTCAACAACGTTAACCCCCTTGGTCAACAACGTTAACCCCCTTGGTCAACAACGTTAACCCCCTTGGTCAACAACGTTACCCCCCTTGGTCAACAACGTTAACCCCCTTGGTCAACAACGTTACCCCCCTTGGTCAACAACGTTACCCCCCTTGGTCAACAACGTTACCCCCCTTGGTCAACAACGTTACCCCCCTTGGTCAACAACGTTAACCCCCTTGGTCAACAACGTTACCCCCCTTGGTCAACAACGTTACCCCCCTTGGTCAACAACGTTAACCCCCTTTGTGAACAACGTTAACCCCCTTGGTCAACAACGTTACCCCCCTTGGTCAACAACGTTACCCCCCTTGGTCAACAACGTTAACCCCCTTGGTCAACAACGTTACCCCCCTTGGTCAACAACGTTACCCCCCTTGGTCAACAACGTTAACCCCCTTGGTCAACAACGTTACCCCCCTTGGTCAACAACGTTACCCCCCTTGGTCAACAACGTTAACCCCCTTGGTCAACAACGTTAACCCCCTTTGTGAACAACGTTAACCCCCTTGGTCAACAACGTTACCCCCCTTGGTCAACAACGTTAACCCCCTTGGTCAACAACGTTAACCCCCTTTGTGAACAACGTTAACCCCCTTGGTCAACAACGTTACCCCCCTTGGTCAACAACGTTAACCCCCTTGGTCAACAACGTTACCCCCCTTGGTCAACAACGTTACCCCCCTTGGTCAACAACGTTAACCCCCTTGGTCAACAACGTTAACCCCCTTTGTGAACAACGTTACCCCCCTTGGTCAACAACCTTACCCCCCTTGGTCAACAACGTTAACCCCCTTGGTCAACAACGTTAACCCCCTTTGTGAACAACGTTAACCCCCTTGGTCAACAACGTTACCCCCCTTGGTCAACAACGTTACCCCCCTTGGTCAACAACGTTAACCCCCTTGGTCAACAACGTTAACCCCCTTTGTGAACAACGTTAACCCCCTTGGTCAACAACGTTACCCCCCTTGGTCAACAACGTTAACCCCCTTGGTCAACAACGTTAC